GGAATGCCGAATCAGTGGAGTTAGTTGTGGAAAATTATGACAGTGAGGAGGAAAGGGTGAAGAAATATAGGCAAATGAAAGCGAGCTCTACTCAGTTGAAGAAGCTGCAGCAGGTCTGGTTCTTAGTAATTTTCCATCTTGAACTGATGTGGCCGCCACTTTCTTTCCCCACTATGTTTCCCCTCAGGTGAAATTTCCTCTGACTGTTAACTCTTCCCCAAATGAACCATTGCAGGAGATCAAAGCGCTTCTTTCTCGCCCCTTACAGTCAAAACAATTTTCACACCGATATTTAGCAGGGGTATTACACTGTAGACCTTCATCTTATCTTATATCTCTTTTCAAATCTACAAAATTCTAAAACATATATTCTCTTTCCAGGGGGGGATCACACCTCTGATGCAGGAACAGTTCCAACAATTAGCCCGACAAAAGCAAGGAAGTGCAGGAGTAACTGGCAAGGGAAAATTGGTTGTGATTGGTCAAGATTGTGTAGAAGCTCTTCAAGCTTTGCGGAATGCTGGTGAAGAGGTAGAATTTTCCACCATTTCCTATAAGCCTAATATTTATGATATATTTAGCTTGTGACAATACAATCAGCCCTAAAACTGAGACTGGAACAAAATAATGATATAATTTGGTTTTTAGATGGGGTCATATAAAGTTATCATGTCAAAAGTGGAACAAAATAATGATATAATTTGGTTTTTAGATGGGGTCATATAAAGTTATCATGTCAAAAGTGTGTTTTGACTTTCAACTAGAGTGCATGTGTAATTTGTGTTTTTTCTTGGTTAGTTTAATCTGCATAAATCATGTAAATTATGCCTGTTTAAGAATCTGTCCAGGAAGTCCATGCATTTGGGGTTTCATTTCTTACATGGCGTCCTTTATCGTCTTGATTTGAGAATGGAGAAGTTGAAATATGATGTTGCTATTTGATGAAAATAGTATAATATATTATATTGTGGGAAAGAACTTGAGAATTCATTGAGTATTAAATGAAATTTTGCTTTTTTGGTTTGTTCTGATTGAGGATGTCCGTTTTGCTGAATTATCTGATAAACCATGGTCATTTCAGGTTTGCGTGATCAGCGAAGGAAGCAAAAGAGAACGATGAAAAATGGAGAATGAATCGAATTTGAATATTTGTGTCTTCCATTGAGATGTTGCAGCGAAAAGGTTCAGAGAAGGTTCACCACTGAGTTTGCAACAGCGGTGGACTGCTCAAGCCCTCACAACGCCAGCCTAAAAAAATTCTTCACAAGTTATCCTCTAGTATGAACGCTAGAGTTTATCCCTTTGCCATTTTTGTTAGCCCCTTAGTTACATTCGAGTTTTGACATATGGAAAGATGGCTGTGTCCATGTAAATTTAATCAATCTTTTCTATTATTGTCGGTTTTGCTTTTTTTTATTTTATTTAAAATATTAGTTTATAATTTCAGAAGACATAAGAGACCAATTTTATGGTGCCTCTATTTCATTTCTTTCTGGTAAATGGGTTTTATTATTTTATCCCATTGCACAGTGAAACATCAGTAGTAGAAGCCAATAAATAGAGTTTCATTTTTTTATATAAAAATCTATGATGACCTGTCCCTATCCTATGTACAATTATTAGCTCTCTATTGAAATTTTTCTCACATAGACATGTCTTATTCAATGAAAATTGTACTTAACCTTCCTAGTAAGTTTAATATAAAAAATCTATAATGGGAGAAGGGAATTAAATACCATTACCGGCGGTGGATGTATTGAGTTCAATCCAAAAAAAGCCACTAACAATATATATTGTAAGGAAATGCTTAAAAATTTTAAAAGTCTTGGGGACTAAAATACAAGGACTATAAAATTAATTTCTCGCGCATATATAAACCCACGCAGAAAGAACGCTAAGGAGAAGAGTGAACTGTGTTGAGATCGATCGGTAAGAAAATGAGTTGGTTCGATAGCATCAAAAAATGGTTCGAGAGCACCATGGATTGGTTCGGAGAAATCTTTGAAATCGCCGGGAAAAACGACGTCGTTAAGAAATATGCTGTGATCGCAGGAATAGTTCTTGCTGCTGTTGTTGCTGTTGTGTGTTTGTACAAATGTTGTATGTGTTGTTGTGGATGTATGTGCGGAAGAAGAAGAAGAGGAAGAACCATGAAAGCTCCTGGCCGGGATGGCTTGCTCATACACAGAGACCCCTTTGAAAGAAACCCTAGAGGCTACTTTCAAAGCCTGCGTAACAAAGAGCCATGGTACGATGAGCTAGTGTAGATCTGGATATCTTGCACCTTACACTACAAAAAAACATTGAATCACTGACGGAATTACCGACGGAATCCATTCTGTCGCAAATATCCGTCGAAAAACTGTGGAAAATTCCGTCAAAAATTACCGACGGAATTTTTCCGTCGGTAAAAAAGTTTTCCGACGGAATTTGCCACGGAATTCCGTCAGAAATTACCGACGGAATTTTTCCGTCGGTAAAACAGTTTTCCGACGGAATTTGCCACGGAAAAATTCCGTCGGTAAGTTCCGTCGCTAAATTTACCCACAAAAGTTTGGACGGATTTTTGACTGAAATTACTGACGGAATATTGTCTGTGGCTAATTCCGTCGGAAAAGTGAATTTTTTTCCCCAAAATTTCATATCTTTATTCTTAAAATAAAATGCAGTGATTTTATTTTTTGTGAGGTGAAAGACTACATTATGTAAGAAAAAAACAAATAAAAATTTTGTAAAAGAGCATAGTGAAATCCTAGAAGTGTGGTGAATCATAATAATTCAATCTATGCATTTGATTGCCTTAAGTATGAAAAAGTGAAAATTACTTTTGAGTTATTGGTTGATTGTGACTATTTCAAATTAACTGAATATTATTGATTATAATATAGAAGAATAAATTTTAGAGACAAAATTGAATTTTAATTTACTAATCTTGAGATAATATCATATGAAGAATATAATAGGTGCAAAGCAAATATTAACAATATTGCTAACTTATTAGTATTTAGTTTCATAAAACTGAAAAAAAAAATTTCTCCTACCAAATATTTAACATATAGTTTGAGAATTTAGACTCAACAATTTTGATTAAAAAATTATAAGTCTTGTTAATCAAACAAAATGCTTGATGATTTGATTGTACATGATAGTGATTTATAGCAATCCTTGTTAAAATGTGAAAGATGTATGAATCCTAAGCATCATCTTTTGTAATTTATTCATGACAACATTATTCTTCTTTTTTACTCCATAACTTCATGTAATTAGATATTGTCAATATTATATTATATATAAATATATTATCTATTTTTAAAAATAGATGGACATTTTTAAATTAAAAAATATCAAATCATTTGAAAGGATACCAAAAAAAAATTAAACTAGTATTTGATAGATCATAATTTAGAAAATTAATATTAACAACTGTTTACAAATAATATAATTAGAAGGTTCTACTATAACATAAAAAACATATATTTAACGAATTAGTAATAAATAAAAATTAGAATGTTATGTAAATAAAAATAGTAAATATGAAAATAGCTTATTCTTTTTTTCTTGCTTTTATTTTTTAAAAGTTAGTCCACCATATCTGATAGCCAAAGCACATTTTTAATACAAAATAATATTAATAAAATTATACCCAAAAAATATGTCCACATTAATATCAAGTTGGCTAGATATAGATTGAGAAAAGGTTAGCGAAATATTATTATATTATTCTAAATATAATATTATTGTTCTTATATGAGAAAAATAGTAAGACTTAAATTTAAACTTGGAATTTATAAAATGTAATTTTGTCCATTTTTTGTTTGAAGAAACCATAATTCATTTATTAGAAGGCTAAATTTAGTCTCCCTCAAAAGATTTTCACCTTCCCTCCGTTAACCCATTTAATTTGAGACTTAATTTTTGCAAAAAATGTTAACTATTTTGTTCTCTTTCTTCCAATGATTAACTCTTCTTTTGTAACACTAATAAAATCATATTTTACCTTATAGTTTTATTTAAAAAAATTAGAAAGAAAGATCTGAAAAAATAATATTCATTGGGAAGGATCTTAATAATGATGATTGTTTACAGGGACCAAATATCAAAATATAAATTTAAAAATACTAAATTATCCCCAATTAGATTCCTACACTTCCTCTTATCATACCCCCTTTAGTATATTTTCTATAATCTTTTTAATTTATACTAAAATTCTTTATAGTTTGTTGTCATCAATATTGAAAAAAAATTATGCCAATCAAATAAAAATTATTATTATTAATAAAAGATATTTTATAGAAGTAAACAAACAATTAAACAAAATTATTCGTGTAGATGAATACTGCTAGCAATAGTTAACTTTTATTTTTGCCTTCGTGGGGCTTTTAATTGGACTTTCTTCTTTCTTTATTTTTTTTTAATAAATTAGTGCGATGTATGTTTTTTTATAAATATATTTAAATGTAAAAAAACATATTTTAATTTATTTGAATATATACAGTTGAAAAGTTTATAAATATTTTTTCTTAAATTGTTATTAATTTCAGTTTCTTAAAATATTAAATGCTTAGATATACAATAGTATTCAGATTTATTTTTACATCTGAATTTTCCATTCTCTTAATTTTAATAACTTCTATTTTTATTATTATTTACTTTAAGTGACATATCCAGAAAAAAAAATTCTGAAAAATGATTAGGGAGAAAAAAAACGAAACCATAAAAAATTTAATGAGTATCATCAATCAATTTGATTTTCATATTATTTGGATTTCACCCTTTGTCTACCTGAAAGATGATACGTAGCTAATTCTTTTTGGTGGAATTTAAGAAGCTGGAAAAAGTTAAAAAAAATAAAAGAAAATGAGTGAAAACCAAAAGTGCAGCGTTTTGAATGAGCTCGGCTGCTTGCTAGGGTACCATAATCACTTCTTCTTCTTCGGCGCGACTGCTAAGGGCGAAGGTAACGACAACTTCTTCCTGTGGAATCCTAGCCACCAGCACGCCATTAATCATCCAGATTGTTCATCATCGTCACCGGCCAACATTCACATTCCCTTCATCCACACCAAAAGCCGTGACTTCTTCCTCCATCAAGCTTCGACGGTGACGGCATCCCTCATTATCACCATCAAGCTTGACTTCTTCCTCCAGTACTTCATGATTGCTGTGTTGTCTTCAACAAAGATCTCTGCTCTTCCCCTTGATGTGGAGATTAATTAACCCCTGGGCCAGTTAAGAGAGTTTGAGGCGTAGATCGATTGCGGCTAGGATTGAGGTACGAAGTCACGGAGTTCAGGCTCCAGGGGAATGAATGCTTTTTAAGCTCAGGTTGCTATTCGTGCTTCAGTGTTCAGTAAGTTATATATATGATTTTTGGTCCCCAAATCTTGCTTCTTCATTCAATCTGTAATAATTTCATATCTCTGATAATTTGAAATCTTATTTTCTTTTGCTATACTGGGTGGATGAGAGTTGAGGACAAATTTTCTTGTTGGTTGTAGGAGTTTTCTCTACAGTAGCTACGGGATCTTTTCTTGCTTCAAGGCCAGCTATTCTCTTCTTGTCACAACCTTTTGCTGAATGTAAGTTATACGATTTGTGGTCCTATTTTGGTGAATACATTGGCTCTGTTTGCTGAATGTTGTTGTGTGCAATTTTAGACCAGCAATTCTTTTCTTGTCACATAAGTCGTGTTGAGTGTTGCTTAGTCTTGAGAAGGCTTTCTGTTATCATAATGCCAATCTGATTCTATGCCCCAACCCCATGACTTTGTAGGATTAAAGTCAGAGCATCTTTGAGTTGAACATTCTATTTTGCTGAATCTGATTCTATTCTGCTGAATGTATAATATTCTTCTTATCTTAGAGCATCTTTCTTCCCACTAACAGCGTGTCTTCGAGTTGAACATTAATTCAACTTTTCCCCTTAAATGCGTTCTCACACAAATGATTTCCTAATAATTTTAAGTTAATTTCTACCTTTTTAAATTGACTCTAAATGATACACACACATATACGCTTCCTTATCTTCTCACATTTAAATCCATCCCTGTTGTTGTTTTTCTTTTTTGGCCAACAAATCCATCCTTGTTGTTATCATTGTTTCAGCATACACCTTTTTAAACGCAATAGGTATTTTAGGCAGAATAACATTAATTATACTTCAAATTATTTACTATTACAAAGTGCTTGAATATGTAGATGGCAGGTCGTGGTTCAAAGCGTGATAGAACACACTTGAGCTCTTCATCTTCTCCACAATTATCTGACCAACTCAACAAATTCCCTATTCAAACATCTTCTCTACCTATGGGTAAAGCATCTACTAGATCTCCAGTTATAAATGAAGAATGTAGCAGACCCTTGTCATCCCACGGATTATCTTCAGTTATGACTCAGTCATATAATAGACTTTCATTATCATCTCGAGCATCATCTCCTGATATCCCATCTCCTGGAACTGAAAATTCGTATCCCCCCACTTCTCCAGCCCCTCCTACCTTTTCACCATCAGGTTATGATTCTTCAGATGGTCGAACATGGATATATCCTGAGAAGAAAACATACGTCACCATTAAGTTTATATTATTTCACATCTTCATTTATTATATCAATGCCATTCTAACAACATTTATAATGATATTTTGTATAAAATTGTTATTAGGTTTAATCCTGCTGTTGCTACTGTACGAAATATTCTTCCTGTTATTCAAGAGAAATTTGACCATCCATGTTTCAGCTGGAAAGCGACACCACCTGAATATAAGAAAATGTGGTTTGATGAATGGGCGGTAAATCATATCTATGCTTGTATTTGTTTTATGTCTTCAAATTTTTTCGCTCAACATGTTTAATTTATATTTTTCTTTTGTTTCTCATTTATGCAGTGAAAATATAAATGGTTACCACAATATGATCATGCTATTAAGAAAATTTGGAATGCAAAGTGTGCAGAAATTTTAAGAAATACAATGCACACTGTTAGGCAAGACTTGTATCAAAAACAAGTTGGGGCTAAGTGGATTCCACGTCAAGTGATGACCGAGCTAGAGAGAATATGGGCATCAGAAGATTACAAGGCTAAGTGTGAGATTGCCAAGGCTAATTGAGCCTCAACTATAGGAGGCACTCAACACAAAGGTGGAAGTATTCCTAATACTAAGCATAAGAGGAGACTGGTAAGAACTTATCTTCAAATTAAATTGTTATTTGTTTAATGCATATATAATACATCTTGGTAAATAATTGCAGGCTTTGGAGTTAGGAAGAGACCCTTCTATGTTTGAATTGTTCAAGAGGACACATTTAAATGACAAAACTGGAAAATTTGCAGACCAGCGAGCGGAATTAGCTCATGTGAGTATATGTTTTTAATATTTGACATATTATTGGATCATTTTTTCACGTAAAACCAAAAAGTAGTTTCTTTCATATTAGATCCATTTATAAATCCATATAGTATTACTTGCCTTTTAAAAGTCCCCTTGTCAAGACTGTGACACTACAAGCTAATTTTCTATTTAATACGGTTTCGTATATTAATAAAAGTTGAATATAGGCATATATTTTGCATGGAATGTGAGGTAACTCATTATATATATCCTTGCACCTCTTTGACGAGTTGCTTTTTCTTGAGAAAAGTATTTATGATTCTATGTATAGTCACTGAGTAGGTCATTTCTTAAAATTTTTTTTAAAAAAATATTATCCCTAGTATAAGGTGAACACGTCGATCTCAGTTGGAATATATATATATATATATATATATTTTCCCGATCCACTATTGATCATTAGGCAATATTCTACCATGCGGGATAGGCCATATAGGTTTATATTTATATATATTGCCAAAACTTGACTTCTTTAACCAGGTTTGAAAAAAAAAGAAGAAGAAGTGTTTTGCTTTGTGTATTGACTCTCCGATATTGTGTTGCAAAGGCACCGATATTGGGGTAGTGGTTGCATATAGAAAAAGAGGAAATGCAAAAGTGGTACCTATATATTAACTATATATCAATGTCCAATAACGTCAGTAGTAGTGTATCAAGTTGAGAAGAATCTTGCCTTCCATAACATGCACTTATATACTCCTGTCTTCTTTTTGTTTTATAGGATGAGTTCATGAGAAGAAAGGCAGAACTTAGTTCTGAAAGAGGCTCTCCAAGCATACAATCTAATCAGGAAGAATTTAACATATGGTTAGATGTTATAGGTGGCAAGAACAAGAAGGGCCGCATCTATGGATTTGGGTATGAGGCTGATGATGATATTTGTACCCAGGGATCTTCTCCTTCCATTAATAGTACAAGTATGAATGCCAATGTTGAAACTGAATTGCGCATGAGGATAACGGAGCTTACACAGGAGAATCAGCAAATCAAACAGGAGCATCAAAAGATGAGAGAAAATTATAACAAAATCATGTCTGCATTGGAAGGAATGGGAATTAAACTATCTGAGCCCTCTAGCAGCAATATAAATTTAGGAAATGATAGTTGATAGTTGTTATTATAATTTTTATCTTTTATTTCACACTTGACACTTGAAGCATTTGGATGTGGGAAAGACTATATATATATATATATATATATATATATCTTTTAATAGCATGTTTGATTTTTTAACAAATTCAATTATCTTTCGTTCCCTCTTAAAAATAAAAAAAATGATTGATCAAATTAAAATAGCACAAAATAAAAACAAAAATAACACAAAATGAAAAAAAAAATTGATAGGTAATTCCGCGAGCAAATCTTAGCTGATTAGCCACGGAATTTTCGGTGGCTAATCAGCCACGGAATGTTCCGTTGCTAATTCCGTGGCTGATGAGCCACGAAAAATTCCGTCTGAAATTCCGTGGCTGATTAGCCACGGAATTTTCCGTGGCTAAATCCGTGGCTGATTAGCCACGGAAAATTCCGTGGCTAATTCCGTGGCTGATCAGCCACGGAAAATTCCGTCAGTAATTTCCAACGGAAATTCCGTCAGAAATTCCGTCAGAAATTACTGACGGAATTTGCCATTCCGTCAGAAATTACTGACGGAATTTGCCATTCCGTCGCAAATCGATTTAGTGACAGAAAAATTTCTGACGGAATGCATTCCGTCGAAAATTCCGTCGGTAATTCTTTTCCGTTGCAATTCCGTCGTTAATTTTGGTTTCCGTCGATAATTCCGTGGGTAATTCCGTCAGTAAATCAGTGTTTTTTTGTAGTGTTAAAGTTCTCAAATATATGCATGCTAGGTTGTCTTGTTTTGAGGTTTCTTTGGTTGTTGATATGGGTTTTATATATGTCTGGTTGGGAAATATGGAATCATGATCTGGTTAGTTGATCTAACATCTTCTCTGCTTATGTATGTTTCTTGTTTGATGATCTATATAATATCATCAGTTCATATATAAATGTGTTTTTATTTCTCCAAAATCAGTTGATTATTTGATTCTGGTACTGCATAATAATAGTAGGAGGCTGGTGGGGGCTGGTTCTTCTGTTTATGTTGTGTAAAAAATGGATTCATCTTGATAATTTTTGTAACATCTGGTTCCAAATGCTGAGGCAAATGAGTCAAAAAAAAAAACAAAAAGAATTATAATTTTTAACATTAGTGGAAAATTGAACTAGTAAAGTCAAGATTCGTATAGAAAATTGATGCTTCATACGGCGCTTAACGTCGATTGGTTCTACACATCAATACAAGACTCATTTAGTTAATTTGCTTAGACTAAAAAAGTTAGGTGAATTAGTTAATTATAAAAAATATAACACATTTTTTCTAAAATATCATAATCATCTTTCTTCATACTCTATTTTTCTCTTCTACTTGATTATGGTTAAAAGAGTATCCATAGGGATAATTTAGAAAAAATTGATAAATATAATAAATGGGTTTTATATTTATGATGAAAACCAATTCAATAATTGAGTCCTATATTAAAGACCAGAAGAGTATTATTTTCTTGGTCTTGACGGATTTTAAATATACCAGGTTGCTTTTACTTAATCCAAAGGCACTATTAAGGGGGTGTTTGGCAATCTTCAAACTATGGTTTCAAAAACACTTTTTCTCAAAATGAGACAAATTCCTTCACATATTTATTTCGTAAACCATAAAAACACTTTTAAAATCATAGTTTGATTTTTATCCAAATACCCCTTAAATCAAAGAAAAGTTGGGGAAGAAAATAAAAGTGGGGAGCAGAAATTAAAGATTTATTAGATAAAGAAGAGGGGATAAATAAGTAGAGAAAGTCGGTGGTTCGTACAATTGACGTGGTCGACAGTACTATTTTTAAATAATAAAAAGGACATAACATGGATAGAATCTGGAAATTTGGCCACTAGCCAAATTATTAATGTTTCATGAGTCAAGTTGGAACTCTGGCTCCCTACATAATTATTCGGAATTTTGGCCCAAAAAAAACGATAATTATTTGGAATGAGAAAATTTTTTACACAATTGAACGAAATCATTATCGTCATCGACTATCGAGTTAAATTTTATATAATATTTTATGTTTAGGTTAATTTGTCGTTGAAAGCAAATAAATCATCCCAATTTGTAAATTTTTTTTTTGGGTGTCATACTTTGTAAGAAGAAATTGAAAGGACTGATATTTAATATTCAATATTTGTTATAAGGTACTTTTAACCTCCTCAAGAGAAACAAGAAGATACTATTAACTCATTAACCATGTTCAAAAATAAAATTTATAAATTTTATTCTTATTAAAACACATGTTTTAATGAAAAAGTAATTAAATTGAAAAAAATTAAAAAATAAGCAATATTAAAAAATTATAATAAATAATTTTTATGATTTTTCATTTTTTATAATGTCCTAATAGTGTCAGTTATAAAATAAAGAGAATAGGAGGAATCGATAGACTATCTGATGACGCTAAACAGGCTGTAAACACTTTGAACACATTTTAACGTTTCCACCTTGTTCATAATTTTCTTTGACGTAATTAATAGGCTTTTTTTTCACATATTTTTCATTTTTGAATGGAAATTCTCCTTTTCTGAAAAAAAGTTAGGAGGGATAAGATTCTTAACATAGAAGGGACCAAAGGCAATTATGTCATATTGTCATGTTGACTTGACTTAGGAAGAGAGGATTCCAAGATGGGAAAGTATAAAGGGAAAATCAACAAAACATCCCAAGAAAACAATAAACGGAGAATGTGTATGTGACAAAATAAAAATTTAATTACTAAAAAATCTTGATAACAAGTGAGTAATATGAATTAATTGTTATTTTTCATACATATGTTGTTATTGCATAATTTTCATCTATCAACAGATTTTTGAGTGATTAAATCTTTTTTTTAAAACCTGACATTAATTCCCAATAATATAATAAGCAAAATGTTCTTAAAAATAGTGAATATAAAAAATGATACTCCTCCGGTTCTAAATATAAAATCCTTGTATTAGTATGTATAAAGATTGTATATTTAGAGCCGAAAGAGTACTAAGATTTTTCTTGTAGCTCAAGAGTTGAGGGGGAGAAGAGAGTCGGAGGACCTGTCACCAACAATAGAAGATTGACACGTCATATAAGCTGGCAAGTTGGTCCTTGAATAGCAAAAGGCAACTTCTTCTCTTTTTTTTTAGGCAATTTCTTTGTTTTTTGGGCAAAAAAGGAAAAGGCAATTTCTTTTTTTTTGGGGAAAAAAGCAAAAGGTAATTTCTTTTTTCTTTTGGGAAAAGGAAATTTCTTTTTTTTTTTTGGCCCCAAAGGCAAAAGGCAATTTCCACGAACCCCTGCCCACACATTGTTTATTATTACCACCTCTTATAGGAGAGTTGATTAATTTAAAAAAAATTAAAAAAGCTAAATAATACTACCTCTGGTACTAATTATAAGAGCTAGTTGACTAATTTAAGAAGATTAAGAAAAGAAGTTAAGTTAGTTATTTATAATAAATATATGTTGTCTTTCCTAAAATATCCTTGCTAATTAAGTATATTAGTTATAACTATTATTGTTAGGAAGACTATCTTGGAAAAAATACATACACATAAGAGACAAAGTGGATTGGACTCTTATATTTAGGACCAAAATAAAAGTCAAACAATATCTTATATTAAGGACCGAAGGTAGTAATATAATTATGACATATGTTATATGATTTTTTTTGAAATACATATATGTATGATAAAATTATATATCAATTTATAAATTAGACATATTAGTTTAAACAAAATAATAAATATAAGTATTTAAAGTATTACCAATCCTTAATATAAGACTCAATTGATTAATTTGAGAAAATTAAAAAAAGCTAAAAAATTGACTTGATTACAACATATATTACGCGATCTTTTTAAAATATTCATATATATCATTATTATATATCAATTTATAAGATAGAAAATTAATTTGAAAAAAATGATAAATATAAATATTTAAAGCAATTTATTTAGCTTTTTAACCTTTTTAAGTTAGTCACTTAGATCTCATATTGAGGCTTGGAGGTAATATTTATAGACACACCAGTACCAAGCTCTTTGAGCAGCATAACAAGGGTACGTACCTTTGTTGTGTCTGAAGTGTAAAAGAAGATTAAATAGTTCTGAAAATGGTGGAACAGTCGAAGCTGCAACTTGAATAGAGAGTAATTTGCCACCGCTTCTTCTTCTTCTAATTCTGAGCCCGGAAAACCCATGAAAGCTTCTGGCATCATGTACAAGGATGACTTTAAAGAAAGCCCTAAAATAGACTTGAATGATCATCCTGTAATGAATTACTACCTCCAAATTCCAGTTCTAAATATAAAAGCTAGACAAAGAGTTTATTTTGATCTAAATAATAAATATAATATCTTAATCTATTTTGTCTTCTAAATTTTTAATATCTTAAGGGGTTTCTAAATTGTTGGTTGTTATAATGAACATGATTGAAGATGATAATTTAAAAAAATCAAGATATATGTATTATAAATAACTAAATTAATTAATTTTCTTAATATTTAAGACTCCAAAAACAATATTTACTGTCTCAGTTTTAATTATAATATATTGTTTCTAGTTTATAAATAATATCTTATAATCAGGACAAAAGACAGTAGTAATTAAGGTAAATGTAAATTATTTTCTTGTTCTGGTTTCTAATCCATAATATATGATGGTTAGCTAAAATGGTATTTGAGAGAACCAACGGTATAGCATGGAAATTAGATTCGATAGTTCAGAGCATGAAAGGTTGAGACGATTAATGAACACTTTGATATTATCTCTGCTGTGATACTTGCTAATATGATTCAAATTTCAAACGTACAATCCCGCTTCAATGTTCTACTAGTCAATTCAGTAGCCTCGAAGAAGAGGGTGACTCTTCCGATATTCACCCCACTTATATAGGATTCTTTTGAATGAGTGTTTAATACAAGTTATGTGCACTCAACATGGACATGCATTCTTTTTAAAGTTGTGTGCATTTCATAGTATACCTACGTTCTTCCCTGTAATGATTAGTTGTGTTCATGTAAGCCTTAAAAGAT